ATAAGAGACAGCAGTACTTAACGTTTAAACACAGTAAATAAGAAACCTAATCTTCAAGTGGTATTATTTACAGTATTTTGATTAGTGATCCAGGGGGCTGTTGGTTGCACTTTGTGATGTTTTACAGCGTTTTTTATGCTTGATTCCCACAGAATGATAGCAATATCACTCAGTATATCATTGAATATAATATTGTAAAACATTTATTCAATGATGAAAATAAAACTAATACTCTAGGCCTATATTTTTTTGTTCCCCATCGTAATTTATTCCTCCTCTTTTTGGAATAAATAATTTTTAATCCTCCTTTTTTGTTTTGCAAGTTGCTTTTATCTGGGTTAAACTGCTATCCGTAATCACAAATGGGTATGATCAACGTAATCGTTGCACCATTGATAAGAATATTGTTATGGGGAAAGAAATGCAACTGTCACAATTAAAGCAATGAAAAAGTTTTATGCCTACAGATGAATGAATAGGTTAAAGACCTCTCTAGTAAATAACGACATTGCAGGCCTCGATAATATTATCGATTTCTTTTCATATCTAACAAGTTTCATGAGGTAATTCAATGTGTAAATCAGAAATATTTATACTTAAAGCGGGGAATGTTCCAATGGAAATCTTGGCACGTGGGCACGAAGCAATGGAAGCTTTTAATGATGCTCTAGCTGAGGGAGAAGCAGAGGTTAATCAAGGAAGGACATTTTTCATGGGCCTCGAGAGAGTCGGAAAAACATCTACTATCAAGTCATTTTTAAGGAATACGTAAGCTAAATATATTCAGTGGTTGCTTTCGCTACGTTATAGTTAACCAGTTGAATTAGTTGAAGCCTTCAATAATGATTTTTAATTAACCTGTAATTCAAATATTCTTTGTATTAAATTCAATAATCGACAACTTGAATGAATGTATCATTCATTAATATCAATCCATTTCCACACATTTATTCATATATTAGTTTAAATATGTACGTTCTGTACAGTAATGTGTATCTATATTATGCTTTCTGTAGTAGCAATATCTTTAGATTAATCATTTCACTTTGCTTTAGTTTTGATCCAAATGAGGGTATTACGGACGCAATTGCCAACACAAAGGTGTGTACCCACGAATTGCACAATGAATTAAATTGGAAGGAAGCACCACCTGATCATTGTAAGTATAGCAAACACTTTTATACTTTTTGTACAAGTAATATAAATCCATACCGAGCCATGTGGCTCATATGTACTGTAATTCCAATTTCAAAAAACGTGAAACGGATGAAAGCGGGATGTTCAGCTGGGGCGCTGGTCAACCGCAGGTTACACGACCCAGCAATTTTCTAATACCCAATTGATACAGCTGGGTAGATTGAAGCAATGTAATAAAGTGCCTTGCTCAAGGGGACAAGCGAAATGCACAGTGAAGGATTGAAACCCGACGTCAAGGAGGGGATTCCAAATAATTTCCAGTGCACCTAACTGCTTTCACTAAATGTGAAACCTTCCTTGTACATATCTTATAAGTCAAGGTGAGCAATGTGCGATCTGCGGGCCGCATGCGACCCAACAGTGATTTTTTTGCGGCCCCGCGAATATATAATGAAAACCCTATGTGTGCGGCCCTCCAAGCAATATTGGCTAGAAAACACCTTGTTTTTTACAGCCTGACACCGATCATATGTAAAAAGTAATATTAAAACTGGGAATAAAGTGGTGTAAAAGCAGTGCTTGGAGATTTTTAGAAGCGCACTGGAAAGATCAAAGTTTGGGTGTGGCCCTCGGTGTTAATTCAGAAATTCTCTTTGGCCCTCCGACCGATTTTTATGCCCACCCCTGCTATAAGTCATTTTTGTGCGCAGTTCGGATTATTGTAAATGGTCAGTAAATATGCAGATCAGCATTCACAAAGAGATTAGTCTAAAATCAGTTATTTAACTAACGAAATGAAATTAATCATATAGTAAATTATATCTTATTCAAATTAATTATTTATCTCTGAACAGCTGGTGCCAATGACATGTATGAAGCAAAATTTGCAGATTCCATAGCGAAAAAAATATTAGAACAAGAAGCGGAGAAGAATTTAGAAGTAACAAGACAAGTAAGATTTACACACTATCAACTTGATGATATTCATGAGCATTTAAGTTGGTTAATAGTGAAATATTTAATGCTACTAATAATGACAAATTAATAATGGATAAAATCCAGCTAATGTATACAATGGTTAATTAATTATTTCTTTTTGTTTACAATTATTTCAAGAGCGTGTTATCACCAGCTAAAGTAGAGACGAAAGATAACCAGGGTAAGGTGTTCATGTTTGCATTTCGTAAGAAATTGATCAAATGAATATATTATATTTATTAGTATTTCACACGGAGGGCCATCACACCTCTATTAACAACATAATTGGTATGGTTGGTCATGGAACAAGTATTGAAGGCACATTGCCTTCAATAGAATACAACCTGGAACAGCTAATTTAGAACTTGGAACAAGAGAAAAAAAAAACTCACTGACACTTCACTATACCAAGCACTACCTAACCTTGTAGGGTCAGTGGAAAACCCCATTATCCTACTATTTCTTGGTTTTTGAATTATGCATTTTTAAGTTTTTATTCTGAATCTTCTATAAGGACAATCATCATCGAATGTTGACGCCAGAAACCCGAAAATAGAATCAGATACCAAAGAGCAGACACAGGCACAATCGATGGAAGAGGTCCCCGAAACCATCGCCACTAAAGTCCAGGAGCGAATAACAGAACTCAAGTTCACAAGAGGAAATGCGACACAAGAATGGCAAAAATCTGGCAACGATTTCATTATGAGTATCTGGGACTTCGGAGGCCAGCCGATATATCATGTGATACAACGAGTAAAGTCATTATATTGAATGAAAAATTGAATAAAATTATAGTTATTAAAATTACAAAAATAATTATTCTAGGACAGGTGTGCGAAAGAAAGGTACACTAGTATTTTTGAATATTATTTTTATTTTTCTATCGGTGGTCTAGTGGTTAAGATATCAGGCTAGATACCTGGAGGTTGTGGTTTCTAAACATCACTCCTATGTTTATAATATTCTCTTTTTACAATTTCTTGCTACCTACAATGCTTTCTGTTTTTTCAGGGTGGTGAACGTATTTTCTACGTTCTGTCACGCTTGAAGCCTAAATGTGTAAAGACATCGCCCCCGGATTATGGGAACCGGGCAGTTTCAATCTTTCATGACTTTGGTGGCTATCTACCTGACGATCTTTTCCAGCGTGGAGTAACTAAGTTTATTGAGAAATTCCAAGTAGAACACAATGAACCTAAGCTATCTTATGAGCATGTGGAGTTGCACATTGATCCACATCACCAAGTGGTTCTGAATGTAGCTACTGTCAAGCATCGTCGTATGTTTAAGGTAATTAGGTCTATGTATCATAATATTACTTATGTTATTTAATAGTATTTATATTTGGCCTACTTTGAATATAAATAGTAAGTTTATACATACCGGTAATGATATAATACGGAATGGGTCTATATATCCAAATTTGACATGATCATAGAAAATGAACATTGTTTTTCTTGTATAGTACTTACACATTCAAATTGTATACAGATGCCACAATTAATGAATTATTGCAGTAGTCATTAATACATTATTCATCATCATGTCAATCAGTTTTAATAGATTGTATCTTCCTTGCAATTTTGTTGAATATTTTCTTGTCTTACGATTTATTAATATCATCATCATCATCATCAATACTAAAAATATTATTATCAGTGCCACTAACATACACATCACAATGTTATCCTCATTATTAGCGCTAGTATTATTATTACCACTATCGTCAATACCACGACCATTATCATAGCTAAATATCACCATTAAACATATATATAAATATAAATATATACTACTGAATATAAAAGAAATACAGTTTTGCTTTTTGAAATAAGTACATAAAATACAATGAAACAAAGAGAACCACAAACTATAGCAGTTGAGTATCAAAATTCAATTCAAGTTTAAATTCATAAGGCATTTCTTTTCTCATTTTTGTTTTGCAGACAACTATCATCAGACTAAAAATAATTAATCGCACTCAGCTTACCAAGGAAGATGAGCCCTCACCGACAGTGTGTAAGGAGGTACTGCCTTCATTGAATTGAGTGACTATACTTAATATATTTTAACCATTTTCTTCATTTTAAAACACATTCACTTTTTGTCTGTTTGACTCTAATGACTGCCCACACTATTCTTCATTCTAAAACACGTTCATTTCATTGAACATACATATGTATTTAACTCAGTTTTTCATCTGCTTCAGGTGTTGAGTTTCCTGGAAACTAAACTAAAGATATTCTGTCAGAGTGGTGCACGAGGCATTGAATTAACGAGGTACATTGCTTGCGAATGTAGCGACGCCCACATGCATATCGTGCGCAAGTTTAATAAGGATGTGCTGCCATGTGGAAGTAATGGACTTGAAGTGAAGCGCTACCGCCGACTATTTGGAGATTACGTGCCACGATCGCAAGGTAAACATTTGACTTGTCTTCGAACTAATTAGTTTGTTAACCATATGTCCATCAATAAGTTATGCAAATTGTATAATTTATACCTTTACATTTTTCAAACCTGTTACTATTTATTAACAAGACTGAATTTTAAATAAAACTTACAAAAAATAAGGCATTTTGGATGCTTGGCAAATTAAGAAAAATTACAATATCGCTGTTAGGTGGGCAAATATTTTTTTCAGAAAAACCTGTGGTAGAAAATACTTGTGATTTTGATACGTACACTTTATTTCTCCAGATCATTCGCAGCCTCAGATAGCAGTAACTAAACTCAAAGGTATGTTTTTAACTACTTAAGCATGATTTTTAATTGGAGGGGGGGGGGAGAGGTGCATTTTTTAAGGGTCAGAGGAATTGTGACCACCCGCACCCTCTAGCTAGATACTGCATTGATATCGGTTGCTATTTGAGGGAGTTTGTACAGTTACAGGAATCTGCTCAGTAATTTTCATTACTTGAACTGTGTTTTTATCAATAATCCCTGCATATTTTCATGAGGCAAGAGGCCTGGTCCAGAAAGAAGAAGGACACTCCTATATATTGTGACAACAATAATAACACATTTAACACTGTAATCGCCATTACTGAAGTCCCGTCTTTATTCAACTCTCCCTTTCTTTAGTTTGCTATTGCAGGTCAATTGATTATGTTTTTTTTTTCTATCAAAACAATAAAGTATTATAATAATTTGTTTTCAAAATTGCAACTATTTTGAAAACTAAGCTTTATATATGTATTATGTGTTTACTTTATCCATGGTGATATAGTCTGTAATTACTATACACTATAATGAATTGTTATTGTACCTCGTTGAAACTCAATGGTCATATGTTCTTAACACTAATAACACTAACACTAACAAACAATTTTATATATTTTTATGAGCTCAATAACTTCAAATGTATTGTATGTTTTAATATCCCTCATTGATTTGTTCACTAATAAAACGTTCTTTCCTCTTTAACACTGTTCAATTAATCTTCCTCATTAACATTGTTCAATTAATCTTTGTGGTACTTTCCTCGCTCGCTTAACTTTCATATTTTCATCATCTCTTCCTTCATCCACTTTGAGCTTTCCAAATTTCCTTTCATCCGAATCTGGATGAACTCGCTTGAACAATGATGAATTTCTAGTAATCATAACATTTGAACCAAGTGCTGTGATTAGACTGTGTTTCTTGTCTATCACTTTCATCAAAACAGGAGCATACGCAGTTGATAATTTTCTTTTGTTTAACAAGAACTGTATCTCCGACCATTATCTCTTCTTGTCCGTGTTTGCTTTAATTTGTCGTTTTTGTTTTTCATCTTGCGTTCTCATTTGCTCTGAGTCAAATTTAGCCTGACTGACTTCCGACATGGGATTGCTCGAACTGGCCTTCCAAATAACGCAGTCGCTGACGGAACGCTGGTCATACTCTGCGGAGTAATTCGATAATTGCGAAGAAATGCATGCATCTCTTCTGGCCATAACAGAGTCACCTTTCTGTGTTTGAAACCAAAATGCTGAGCAAACCGCTGAAAGTCATTCCCATTGTCTGTCTTGACAATTGTAGGTATTCAAAACATAGGAAATACCTTGACCAACTTCTGTACTAACACTTTTGCAGAAGTGGAATGGGCGATTTCTACAACTTCATAGCGCGAGTAATCATCTACTATAATCAAACCATATTTAGGGCCGATCTCTGCAAAGTCCAAGCTTATTTCTTGCCACGGTGCTTTGGGTAGAACACTCATACGCAAAATGGTTCCCTTGGTTCCGAAGCTGTGGCAATCTGACATTCAACGCACTTTTTGATGGTATTTTCACACAATATGTCCATTTTCGGAAACCATACCTTATTGTTATATAGTTTTCACGATTCTCTGATGACCCGTGTGCGCTAATGCAACAACACGATCCGTAAGCGAATGTGGAATAGCGATTCTATGACCGCGTAATATGATATCATTGACAAGTGTTAATTCGTCGCGAATTGCAGCAGAACTCTTCACTCTGTCATCAGTCCATGCACCATGAGACTGTGTCAGTGTAGCTTGCTTGACTGCTTGTAATACGTTATCTGTACTTAATTCAATTCAATTCAATCTTTCATTATCCAATATATATAAAAAAAATACATTAGAAAATCTGTTTATACACTGCAACATAAAACTGTTAAAAATTTAATATAAAAGATAACAATTCAATTTACAATTCAAATTAAGATTAAATAAATAAAAGGAAAAATCAAATTCAAATTTACAATTCGTATAAAAAGCTAAAATTAGGTAATACTGTGCAGTTTAATTAGTATATAGATAGATTTGATCGATTTGATTTGGGTGTTCTCTCCATGGGTAGCAAAAATTATCTTTCAACATATTTGTTTTAAATTATAATAGAATGTGGGACAAATGATTTATTATAGCATTTAGTATGAGTAGGTAAGGAGTGAATACGGCTTTGGGATGGGAAAAATTGTACTCGTTGTAGAGTGGATGATCAGTTTGAGAGAGAGTATGCATTTTACCATAGAGAGAATACCTGCATCATATTTACAATTAAGCTTGGAAAAATCAACTCCTATTACACGCCCCGCCCTTCTGGTAATCTTTGCCAACAATCCCTTATCTTTCTCATATAAGCTAAACTCCCATATAATTCGACAGAATAAAATCACACTGAGTATCATTGATTGGTAGAACATTTCTAGAATGTTTTTATCGATATTAAATTTCCTAAGTTGCCGTAACATATGAAGTCGTTGCTGGCGTTTTTTTATAGTCTCAGTGTATTACTGCACCAATCCAACTTTTCGTCAATCACAGTCCCTAAATATTTGTACTCAGAGACAATTTTAATTTGTTCACCATCAATTTTAAAGTGGTTCATGGTCTAACCTATTTTTCTTCCTAAAATAAATAAGTTCACATGTTTACTTTTGAGTTGATTTTAAGGAAATGGTTTTTACACAAGTTAGAAAAATAGTAGTTATAATATGTTATTAATAATTATTAAGGGATTGAGGGCCATTGTTTAAACTGACAAGGACGGTGTCATCAGCATATCTGATTGCGACAGTTGGTTGTCGCTTTCGCTACCTCATCAATGGATAATATACTGGCATAGACGAGTTAATCTGTGACAATTGCGAACTGCTTACCAAGCACATACATGCGAAAATGTCGACATGCCCATGCTACCGCCAAAGCTTTGTGTTCAATTTGCGAATAACGTGTTTCGACTGTAGACAATGTTTTGCTGCCATATGCAACAAAGTGACATTCTTGTGTCAATACGGCGCATAATGCACGTGGACATGCATCAACAAATATAGTTGTGGCTTTATTTGTATCAAAATAAGACATAACAGTGTCTGTTGTTAATCGAACTTTCAACTCATCCAACGCTTTCTGTTGAGCTTCTCCCCACTCAAATACAGCATTTTTCATTATGAGCTTTAACATAGGTGCAACAAAATCTGCATACCCTGGGATGAAACGAGAAACATAGTTACTCATAACTAGTAGACTATAGGTGCGTTCGAGCATGGAGGTATTATTGAGAAGGAGATCACTCGGCAAAGCTACGCGCACGCAGCGCTATGCAAATGAACCAAGATCAAAGTTGCCGCAGCGCGTAAAGAACGTTTGCGCGATGCCTTTGAAGTCCCATGTGTTCCCCGCCATCAAATTTTCAGCAGGCATAGTTGACCAGAAAATTTAACATGACAAAATGGAGAGCACCATCTTTTCTCAATGCGCACTACATACTGTCAATCACTATGGCTGCGCAATCTTTTCTTTTTTGAAGCTGATACATTTATCTCTCATAAAATATCAAACATATTAATATTTTCCAAGAAAAGTTTCGAATTTAATGGAACATTTATATGACCTATAAAAGTATAGTATATTTCAACTTCAATTTTCATAAATTGGCCAAAATTCGCCAATTCTAATTTTAACAGATATTAATTAATAAATGATTAAGGATTATAATAAACTAAGTCATTTTAGGGTTAACAAGGGTTAACTATTCGAAAAATGAATCCAAAATCTAAGTATTTTTCAGTTTTACGCTGACTTAGCTTTATAGTCGAACCAGTCAATCTTTAGACAACATTATAATGAACACAGAAGTAATTTTAACATAAATATTTTACGGAATCCGTTCCTGAAATATACAAATAATAACATACCAAAAGCCCGAAAAAATCTAATCAGGGGAACATTGTTCATTATAAAGATATTTAATGGGTTAAAATCAAACGTTTTATTGCAGAACTGCTCTGCTGGAAGCGTATAAATGCATGTCGTTGCCAAGTTGTTGCTAACGAAAAAATGTGAATTATAGGGTAATACGCCCGCGCGCGATCCAAAAGCGGGGAACACATAGGTTTGTCGGGTCAAAGGGATCTGTTGCCGAGTGATCTCCTTCTCAATAATACCTCCATGGTTCGAGCCATACACGCCCATTAAATTCCGTGTATATGACAGGTAAACGCACGGCTTTACACCACAGGGGGTCCCCGCATTCGAGCACAAACTTATCTTGTCTAACCGTGTAAAATTTACCTCGGAAATACTCGTTTGAGGTCAGCGAGGCAATAGTATATCCCATCATGCCACGCAATATTTACGTTTCTAACCACGCTTCACGCAATTGTACTGTACTCCCTGCGCAAATACTTCAGTTTATTGGTGACCTGTGTCATCGTCAGCTTTCCCCTAAATTTTCCTTCGATCTTTGCAGTTATTTCTTTGTAAGTACCGCTGTTTCGGCGGGTGCCATCCAGTTGTCTTTGTATTCTGTCTCCCCCCCACCCCCCACAATGAGAGAAGGTAACGTATCATAAGATCGGTCCACACAGACATGTTGAAATGATGAAGATGATGCTATAACATATTAACAACGGGTCAGCGAATGCATTTGTTTTTGTAAAACTGGACAGGCCTATGGTTTTCGCGCGTGTTGGATTGAATTGATGTTGACCGCCAGAGTCATTAAAACATAATTAATGGTCGCGATAATGGCCTTTGACAGCGATACACGGTTCTATAACCCTAAATTTGGTGGTCAAAATAGGCGAGCGTGTTCCAGATCTTTTTTACATCTTACCCCCCGTTCGAGCCACGCACGGCATTTAAATTCCGTGTAAATACACGGACCTATATGCGAAATCACCTGAGAGTGCGAGTGATTGCCATGGGGTGCGTTCCCTCCCTGGTCATACCATTTGCACTGAACGAATGTAGGTAAGAATGCCCAGAAAAAAATTTTACCTACTTGTCATTTGGGGCCATTTT